CTTCAGGTACTGAAAGGCTACTATGAGATCTCCTATAACCTTCTCTTCGAGGCTGAACAGCTCTAACTTCTCCTCAGCCTGTCTTCATAGGGGAGATGCTCCAGTTCTCTTATCAAGTTTGTGACCTCCTCTGGACTTGCTCCAACAATTCCATGTCCTTCTTATAAAAATATGATGAGAACATTTTAATAACTGAGAACATAACCAAAACAAAACCAGTGATGCACAATATAACTGGACACCACCCACAGACCAATGCAAGCCCCTGTTCCCAGTTTCAGATTGGCCCCCTCTGTTTATATACTGGGCATTTTCAAGATGAATTAAAATCATATAGAAGAAAAATGCTTTCCTTTCTGGAAAGCCTGGCCGATACCAGTTTTGGGGGTTTCTTTTCCTGTGGTGTTTCCATAGAATGTTAAGGCATTGGAAGGGACCTTATACACCATCTAGTCCCAAACTAGGTATACTGGGCATGAAGTTCTATGGTGTGGATTATGCCTTTGGCTAGTTCAGGTCTCCTGTCCTTACTACGCTCCCTCCCAGTTTCTTTTGTGCACCGTCTCACTGGCAGAGTATGAGACCAAGAAAGAAAATATCCTTAAGATAAACACAACCTAGCAGAAACCAAAACAACAGTGTGTTATCAACATTCTCATTCTGAGTCCAAACACAGCACTGTACCAGCTACTGAGGAGGAGTTAACTCCATCCCAGCTGACACCAGCACACTTCTTTTTGGATAACTTTTTACCCTGTCTGTCATGAAGTAAAGGCAAAACAATGAGGGGTTGTCTTGTCTTCACAAATTGTAACTGATGTCACTTGCTGCCAAACACACCTCAGTACAACCTATATAGGACTGCATCAATATTATGGAAAATGGCTTCTTTGACTTCGTTAATTGTATCCTTAACATTACACCAAGGGGTTTACAGGCTTTATAAGGAGATTTCAAATTCTGCATTGATCTTAAAATTAGCAGAAGTAAAAAAGGAATGCCTGAAACTTTCTTCTACTAAGTGTAAGAACTTCCCTAATCCAAACCACAATTTCTGTCATCCGAAACAAAATTTTGTATTTTATGTCAGAGACTGCTATGAAGAGAAATGAGCTGCAAGGAGGTGTACTTGCAAGTAACACCTAATAAGATGAACAGAGATGATCTACTGATAACAAGTCTTCAAACCAGACAGATCATACTCCATGACACACTTTTCTAAAAGACACAGAAACGGAAAATGGTCGAAGTAAAAGTATGAGATTACTGCCTGCTTTCTTAGTGTGATGTGTTATTTCTTGTTCACTACAGCACTGCCCATTTGTCTAACAGGTCATGTATCCAGAGCTCTTTTGTGTTAATACAAGTTCTACAAACACATACCAAGCAACTTGGTAGCAGTGTTTGAACTGGAGCAAGGCCCGGAGCTACTACCAAGAGCATCTCATAAAATGTTTGCAAAGCCTCGACCTTGTGCACTCTCTAAAATTACTTTACAGATAGAATAACCAAAAACCTTGATATGCACCTATTTTAGTAGTTTGGCTGAAAGTACTGTATATTATAAAATCACTAAGGATTTTTTTACAAATTCCTCTTTGTTAAGTAACTTTGCATACATTTTCTTTGCATCTAATAGAAATGAGTTTAACATTGTCCTAACTTTGAAGTGAAACAGTTCAACACCTTCTACACACAGGCCTGTAAAATTAACAGAGGTTTCAAATGCCTCTCTCAAACTGTATTTGGTTGTTGTGTTGTTTTTATATCTTTTTTTTTTTTGTTGAACTTTCCCTATGAAAATGTGCCAAGATAATAAGGTTTAGAAAACCAAAAAATTATATATTATTATTATAAATTATATATATGCTGAGTGAAGATATGCTGAACAGGTAAAATGTGAGCAGTTCTAGCCTAGGCAAGACACTAAAGCTCTGGGAAAGTTTCTGCTTTTGTGCCTAATATCCTTGATTAGGGCAGAGTTTTTACCTCTCCTCAATTATTTATCCTTCAGACTAACTCAATTTGGTTTTGCTTCTCAGTTTCTGAAAACTAAGTGGAATGAGCTTCTATGTACAATCCCAGACAGATTCCTGGAATAAGATCAATGTGAAAATGTTTTGGAGTCTCATCAACTATGATTTGCTATGTTTGTACTGTCATTTAAAGGCTGCTAGTCCTCAGCAATTACTGGCAATTGACGAAAGAAAGCATTCTGGTAAAACCTTTGAGGTCTCCCCAAAAATTTACTTCCTGCATCCCAAGTCTATCTACTCTTTATCCATAACAAAGGTTATTTCCATTATTTGGCCTGCAACTGCTAGGGCAGAAAAATCAGGGGCGGGAGGAAGGGTGTAAGTGGAGAATCAGGATTTTCTGCTGAAAAAAAACAAAAAAAAGACCCTGTTGTGTAGCAGCATTTTCCACTTGCTTTTGGAACTACAGTGGGGGGTGCAGGTTCCATTTAGGGCTGTACCCAGACCCACTGGTCCCACAATGATGGTTGGCCTCTTATTGCATATTCTGTAGCACAGCAGCCTAAAATGCAAAAAAGGTGATTAGACAATTGTGGAGGAGAGGGAGGAAAAGAAATAACAAGAGAAAAAGGAACTATTCTTCTTGTACTGGAAAGGAAGATGACAGCTGGAGAGACAAGAAGGGGAAAGTGAAGAAATGTTCCTATACTTCCTGCTCCCAGGAAACAAAGATTTCCAGTCGCGGAAAAACCTTTCCTTCATGGAAACCAGAAACACCTTCCTTTTTGTGACATCCACACCACATCCAATAAAATCATTTATCAATACCCAAGTCACTACAGTAAAGCAACATAAGAAACGATTAACAATGACACATTTACTGATATATTTTGGGTATTTTTAATGTAAGTACAATAAATATATAATATTCCTACAGGTATTCCTAAGTTGTTACAAAGGAACTATTACTTGGTAGTACTGAAAACCACATTTAACAGCCACTTGAACAAGACCGCATTACTGTTCTGCCAATGGAGAGTACCTTAAGATGCCAGCCAGACTCCTCTTATATTGTGACTTGTTTTTAAATTGCGGCTATGCCTAGAGTGGGTATGTCATATGTCTGTTTGTCTGCAAACTGGTACAAATGAACTACAATCTGGCATCATAGCCAGTGGATGATGGTTCCCTTTAGGCAAGCACATACCAGAGAAAAACCTGGACAGTTTTTCTTGGTTAGTGAATGTGGTAACTGAATCAGAGCCAAAACACCAAATCCAGATTTGTGAATGCCCAGGTGACTGTGGTGCATTGCTCACCTTCACCTGCAGGGCTGAGCATACCTCTCTACCTCGTGTCAGCTCTCCGAACCAAAATTCCCTTTCTCATAGGACTACCAACATTATGTCCCTTGCCCTCCTCACAGAGTTGCTTCCCTCTTCTATTTATGTCCTTCAGCAGTATTACAATGTCTCTGAAGTGCATCATATTGACATTTTTTAACAACAAAGGCATTTGGTCTCCCTGTGGCCCAGTTACACTTCCAGGCATTAATGAGTACCTTCAGTCATGGTGCGTGTAGAACCTGGAGCATCCTTGTGAACATGAGAACAGCACATGAAGGACATGGTTCATTTGTCAGTCAAGCAATTGAGAAATGGATGGGAATTGTGTCATTACAATGGAAGACAGACTATGGCACACCAGTGATTAAAAAGGAAACAGGACTTGTTTGAATACTATACTTCTAAAAAAAGTCTTTGAGGTTTTTTTTCTTGTGATAATTTACTAACTAATGTATGACTCTGTATCTTCTAAAAATAGAACATCATTATCAAGATACTCCAGAATTATATTTCCTCCATTGTACAGTGGATAGTCTTTATCAGACAGCCACGTTTCCAGGGTGTGCTCAAATGGCAAGGCTTCTCCGGAGGCAGTATGGCATAATCTCAATTTCTGTAAGACAAAGAGCACAGAAATTAACATCAAGACTTGCCTATCCGAGATGAAAGAAGTGAGGTGGGGGAGGGGCAAAAGGCTAGAGCAAACTAAAATAAAAATGTTAAAATGTTTCTTATTACTGATTTACCTGGGATGTTGATTTGTTGTTGTCATTTTTAAGGCTTGCTAAGGAAGCTGCAAAATCTACTACTTTGCCAATACTCCACTTACTGCAAAAGAACATAGGCTTGCTTTTCTCCTTGTTCCCCTTTGGTAAAAATACTTGAAAGTAAATTCTTTCTGTCTAGAAAAACATGAAAAATAAAGTAAAAAAATTATTCACAGAAGAAACACATCATTCCAGTCACACACATCTAATAGTTTTTCAGTAACAAAACACTTCAACCCCAAAATTACCAACTGAAACTTGTTTTATTACATCAGGACCAAGGCCTCATTTTACTACAGAATATAAATGACTGAGATCATCAAATCCAATCCTCTCCAGCTGCAGGAACATACATGATGGACAGTAAGTTCTGGAAGGTGGAGAGAACATCTTTTGCCATGAGTCCCACAGCTAGACTGTGATATATAGACAGACATGAAAAGGTGTCTGCCTGGGAAGGAAAAGGTGAGTTTAAATAAGCAGTACTGGCTTTTGACAACAGCATAGTGTCTCAAATTGGAATGCAAAAGCAGTTACAACAGAAAATTCACTGTACTAGAAATGCCTGCTTCACATACCAACACTCCGGTCATGGTCAGATAATCTTGTTTTTCCTCATTTTATGTGCTAAACACTCTTCCTACTGGACTGAAACAATTGCTTAAGATATTTCAAGAGCAACCTACAAGGGAGAGATTTTGAACATGACTGAGACAATTCCTTCTTCAGGTTTATTTTTTCTTGACTATCAACAGAAGACACAGAGCAAGCAAGACAGCTCTATTCATCAGTTAGGACTGCCCTTGCTGAGTCCAAGCCAGACACTGTCAAACAAGACTGAAGTCTTTTAAAAGGATTTATTTATGCTTTCCCTAGATACATATGGAACTACCCCAGTTACGCTCATACAATGAGTCTGAATCTCAACCTGTGCATTTTCCTCAAAATTGAGTGTTCTCCACACACAAGAAAATCTTCAACATCCAGTAACATTACAAAGGGGCAAAGAAAGCAGGACCTGAATCTTGCTCAAACAGAAATGACCACAGCTTGTAGAACAGCTAAGACAACAGCCATCTGACTATGGAAGCATGCTAATGTCACTCAACTGCTATCAGTGCCCCAGCACCTTCCTACAGTTGCTCTTCCAATTTTAAGGGTGATGAGACAGTTTCCCACAGTTCACTGGAAGTCAATTCCCAAAACACCTAATTATACCGTTGCATCCCTATAACTTGGGATATGCTTCTTGGAATTTCTGTGCCACATCCAAGACAATACTGACCAGTCAGGAACACAACAACTAACACTATTTTGCAGCTTGGCCCTCCTGTTTTGGGCTGGTCAGTCTCAAGAGAGATAACTCTCATCAGGTCTGACACCAAAAGAAGCAATCATTGGTAGAAAGCTAATCTCAACAAAGTTATTTTTAATATAGCCTTATTTTCCTGAACATAGAATTAGAAAGGTCAGGAAAGACCTCTGGTGTCATATGGTCCAAAACCATTCTCAAAGCAGGGGCAATTTTAAAGCTGGACCTAACTATAAAGGTAGGTCAGGTTGCTCCAAGTCAGATTCAATCCATCTTGAACATCCCAAAGAGGCATTCCATTCCTGAAACATTTAAAAAATCTGTCATACCACTGGAACAAGTTGGGCAGAAGAAGGCTAAAAGGAGTCTAGGAAGAAATTTAAATAGAGAGGCTGAAGGTTAACAACTTAATTTATCAGTGTTAGAATTACTGCTATTCCAGATGATTAAACAATTAATATCCAAAAGAGAAAATTAATAGTAAGAGCAATTAGCATACAGTAATTTGTGCTACACTCTTCTGTCATACCACTGGAACAAGTTGGGCAGAAGAAGGCTAAAAGGAGTCTAGGAAGAAATTTAAATAGAGAGGCTGAAGGTTAACAACTTAATTTATCAGTGTTAGAATTACTGCTATTCCAGATGATTAAACAATTAATATCCAAAAGAGAAAATTAATAGTAAGAGCAATTAGCATACAGTAATTTGTGCTACACTCTTTAGAGCTTCTGGCTTTGGAATTAGGAAGCAACTTTTACAATTTTCTTACATATATTAAGGGTGGGTTTTCTAAATGATGTTCTACAATATTTGAAATTAATCACTTTCCCTCTAGCCCGTATTTATTAAAGTGGCACCATTTGTGAGGAGTGCTACAAGCAGGTCTTTGTGTCATGACTTCTGCCTATTTCTAAGCAGGTATAAAATACGAAATTCATAAGAAGACTCAGGAATGGAATAGCTGTAGTTGTTTCTTTTTTAAAATAATTTAATTCCAGTGTATCTGAAATTCCAGAGTATCTGGAAGTGTTCAAGGCCAGGTTGAATGGGGTCCTGAGTAACCTGGCATAGTGGAAGATGTCCCTGCCCATGGCAGATTCTATGATGTTATGAAATGTACTCTACTAAGATAAAACCTAACAGTAATGCTATCACATAGAATGTTTTCTGTATTATAAAATCAATATAACAGGTCTAAACTTGCTGTGCTCCATAAACACAGGTATAAAAAGTGAAACCCTTGAAGAAAGAATCAAGGTGTTTCTAAACACATCACAATCCTGGTAAGTGGAAAAGACTTGAACACCAGGTGTGACTGGCCATGGTAGTGAAAAAGTGAGGCATCTGTGAAATACTTCAAGAATCAAAGAAATTAAAGGCGTCATGGTTTGCCTACCAAAAACCTACAATTGCTAGCAAGGGAAGGGGAAAAGGAGGAAAAGCTATCTACACCCCTACCTAGTGCCCCTCCCATAAACAGAAACCCCTTTAAATCACAAAAATATCCTGATTTATCTGCCTTATCAGGGAGTAGTATCAGGGAAACTAGACAAGGGGATCAGACTGGCCAAGGCACAAATGGCTCTACCTTCTGCCACCTGAGGACTGAGTCCCATCCTCTGGGCCATAGTAAATAATAAATTAAAGACTGATTTCCTCATGGACATGGGAGCACAACTATTCATTATTAAAGCAGAATAATGCCCTGGAGCTCTCTCTCTGAAACATCTGAAAATATCAGTAACTGGAGTAAATGAAGCAGCGACTTCTTATTCAATAGTTAAGGTAAAATTGTATCTTCCTTTAGTCTCCTCTTGTTCCCCAAAAATAGCAAATGGCAACCAGGAAACCTATCTGTTCAGTATGGATACTCTGTGAGCTGGATACAGGGCAACACCAGCTCTGCTCTTGAAACAATAGATGAAGAAACAATGCCAGGGCCCCAGACAGAAGGTCACCTATTTTGGCGACCAAACGGGTAAGGAGCAGGAAGTAAGTCCCTTGGTCCACTTAGCAAATTGATTATGTTGGACTTTTCCCTTGACCACTTGAAGGGTGGCATTATATCCTTAACGGAGTTAAAATAAGGAAGGCTTGGACTAAGTTTTTGCTTGCTGGAAAGCTGAGGGTCTTACCACTCTGGCAGGATATAATCAGTGGTTTGCTGACGCTCCCATGCCCTCTGCTGTGCAGTCTGACAATGGCATTCATTTTAAAAAAAAACCATCCAGGAATGGTGTGAAGATCATGGAGTTGCCTGAGTGCTCCACCTGTCCTACACACCTCAAGGCAATGACACAGTCAATAAGTGGAATGGACTACTAAAATGAGCTCTAGGGCCAAGTTTACACACAGGAAAATGGAGGAAAGCCCTACTTAAAGTTGTTTGATGCTTAAATAATGAGCAGACACCCACCAGATGCCCTGTGAAAAAAGCTAATTTTCCTGCTTTCCAACCAATAAAACATATAATGTTCCCCACCCCCATCATTTTCTCAGGGTGACAATGTTCTTATTAACTACCCTGTGATGGTTAAAATACCTTTCACTTTACTAACTTCCCAAGGAAAGGGCATATGGAAAACTGTTTCTAAATGGGGACTCCCTTTTTCACTGAGGTTTCAATGATTCCCAAGAATGAGTAATTTCTTATTGTTACACATAATGGGTGATACCTGGACAGATTCTTTGGCCTGAACAAACATGGAATGTACCCACGGAATCATCACCTTCATAGAAACCTCAGCTGTAAAAAGCTGATCACAACACCCACTGTATTGTACTGATCCTTATTTGCACTTCCTTCCTTCCCTGTTTCAAGAATGGGATGATAATTTTGTCATTCAGTTCATGAACATCTTTTCTCAAATGGGTATTTTACATATATAAATGGAATTGTTTACTGCACTCTCAAGCTTCAGACGCTAATTCTGGGACAGTAGCTGAAACTGCCCCTGAAATATTTTGGTGCCAAACTAAGTTGGCACACTCACTCCTCAACCCTCTCAATTATCCAACTCAATCTTTTAAGGCACATTCTTATGATAAGACTGCCTGGTGCACTGCAATGCCCTGACATGAATTCAGTCTGGGTGGGAAAACCAAGCAATTATATGTTTGGAGTCTAGAAGATCTGAAATATTGATATGGCCAGCCAAGAATTAAGATTTGACCCGATTTGCAGAGGGTCCAGGTGATTAGGAACCATAAGCTAAGATGTGCTATAAAATTCTGTGCTGTGCTCATCGCCAAATTCTCCTCAAGCAATAAAGCTTTAATACAACTTAGTGCTGCCACTATTCTGTCAAGGATCCCCAAAGGAACCTGCCTGTTCCCACAGTGTTGGGTGACAGCCATGTGACAATACCTTTTTGGTATAAAACAAAAGAATTTGACCCAACTGCTCCGAACTCCACACATCACCTTATAAAAGACATAAGAGTAATCAGATTGCTTTGGGGGATCGGGCTGAAGAATATGTGTAAGTTATTGTGGCCTTGAAAAATTAAATCCAAAACTGAAATGAGGGAACTAGATGAAGATCAATAAATTTTGAGAACTTCCCATCTCCTGTGAGAATTCAGTTATTGAAAACATCACTGACCTGAGGCAAGGACTTGTCCCCACACGCGTGCATCTTCAGTTTCATTAATGACACTTTTGCTGCTGTCTCACTGTTTTTCGCTCCTTTACGTTTTTTGCTTTTTGCTTCCTCACTTTTTTTAGAATCTGAGAACAATATTTATCCTGTTAGTGTAATGATTCAGACTGTCTCCTGAACATATCTTGGAATTAGCCTATTGGCCCTTATTGCATCTCCAAGGTTCCCATCCCCTTCATGTCCATTCATGTCCTCCCAAGGGTATGTATCAAGTACTCCTATTAAAGAGTATTTGGAATTGTTACAGTTCCAGCAGAACTCCTTTACACTGAAAAGCAGATGAACACTACCCTGATGTAAACACAGGCTGCAAAAGCCAGAGATACAAATTCCTAAGTTTCAACACCTGTGGCCATCACAGCATTCATATGGCAACAGTTGCCTTTCTACACATAACACCACTGTCCAGTTTGGCAGTGCAGTTTATTCTCTTTCCCATTCTGGAGCTTGTTTAAAACCTACAAAATACATTGTAGACTAACTTTTTTTTCATGCCATCTTGGCTGTGTAGGTGTAATCCCAGCAGATTGGCATGTGCATCCAATACAATAGCACATGAATAAGTATGTAAATAATAGTGGCTAGGTACAATTCATTACATTATAGTACTCATAGAATGAGAAGAAGACAGTAACTCTGAAAGAAACCTGAGTCCTATTTAATCTTTAAAGATTCTGTTCATACTGTTGCCTTGTCTTGATCTGAATGAATGGTATTACATGCTGACGTGAGTTTAGGGCTATTTAACCAAGGAACCCTCATCTTTTCTTTTTATTTGGTTAAACCTGATCCCTCAAAGAGGGTCAGATGCTCAAACAGCCTTCTGAAGAAAACTGTAGAATACACATCCTACTGTACTTGCCTATAATATGTTGAACCAGCTGCTGGGTGGCAGCCATTCGAGGTTTTGGTGTCTCCAACTTCTCACATTCATGGTCTGATTGATGACGATGTCTGTAAACAACAGTGTAAAGCTTTTATTGCCTTTTCCATACACTAAAGAATGAGTATTAATGTTCAAACACTGTTCCACTCACCTTAGACAAAAGTGTTTTTCACAGTAGGGACATAAAACTGGCAAAAGCTCCTTTCCATTGCAGTCCTTATACGAGCATGGGTAAGATTTGTGCTGATCAGGTTTCACAGAATTGTTTCTAATATTCACCTAGGCATTAGTACAAAGTATGTTGTGTAAATAAACAGATAGTGAAGATACAAGCCACCACCTCAACCTTCCCAAAGAACTGTGCGAGCTCTCCATTCTGTGGGCAAAACTATTCTCTTCTACTTTTGTCCTGGTTAAGTTTAGCTCAGAGTTAGAAAAAGAACCATTATTCTACCTAAAACTTCATTTACATCTGAGAGGCAGAGAGTACATTCATTTTTTAAGCTAGTCACATTTTCAGTTATATAATTCATACTTATATACTATGTGTATTCATCTAATCTGAAAATACACAGTTAAGTTCCATGAAATTTTAATTTTAAGGTAGTAATGTATTATTAAATTACCTCAGAACACCCATGAGCATCCCGGCTCCTGTGCTGAAGGCTTTGTGGAAAAAGAAGTATATATTACATCACTATCAACAGTTCAGGAAAAGAAAACTGCATGTGGAAACATTTAAGTGTTTAAAGAGTGATCTGCCAAGTTTCATCATGGGATAAAATGTGATTTTGAGCACCACAGTACAGGAAGGTCATCATACTATTCAAGTGTGTTCAGAGGAGGGAGAAGAAGGTGGTGAAAGGCCTCGAGGGCAGGAATTGTGAAGAGCAGCTGAGGTCACTTGGTTTGTTCACCTTGGAAAATACAAGACTGAGGGTGACCTCATCACAGTCTACAGCTTCCTTGAGGGGGACAGCAGAGGGGGAGGTGCTGATCTCCTCTCTATAGCGACCAGCAGCAGCACAAGCAAATAGAACAAAGCTGCATTACAGGAAGTTAACAGGTTGAACATTAGGAAAAGGTTCTTCACTGAGAGGGGGGTTGGCCACTGGAACTGGAAGGAGTGTCTGGGTGACACTTAGTCATATGGTTTAGTTTTAGGTAGTCCTGTGAGGAGCAGGGAGTTGGACTCAATGATCCTTATGGGACCCTTCCAACTTGAGATACTCTGTGACTCTATGAACTTACCAAAAGACACCTGAACAGCCATCACATACAAAGGGGAGAAAATCTGAAACAGAGAGATGTGTTTTCAGTTAGACGACATGGTTGTTTTGCTAATAGTTTCTAGCTTAATTTTCCCATTACTAACTTTTGCTTACCTATATCACAGGGTAGGTATCTTCACAAAGGTACTTAGCAACTGCATGTGCATTGTACCTAGAAGTGGCTTTTGTAACACAGCTACACTGTTAACTACTGTAATTAGTATTACTGAAAAACAGGAGTAGGCAAGTCATACTTATATACACTCCAGAAGTTGGAATTATGCTTTAAACTCAAATGTTTTTCAGTATCAAACTTTGCCCCTGGAACATTTGGCCAGCCAGTATACTAGTTACATTAAAAACTGAATGTACTGAGAGACCACTCAGAATACTTTTTACTGACAGTGTACAATTTACATTTTATTTTACAGGAAGATGTTGGTTCTTTGGAAAGGATAGCATCTCCTCCATCTGACAGTCCTTATGATCCTGCCCCTTCTTCTCTAGGCTTCGTATCATATCACACATAGCATCCTTGGGTAATTTAAACTGCACATACATCCCCTGCCAGCCTCATCAGTCCTTACAGATAAATCACTTCCCTGTCTGCTGAACTCAGCCACATCCCCGATGGCAGCAAATGCCACTTCTAGTCCATTACTCTGCTTCTCCATCCTTTACATTTGATGCTAAGGGACCACCATGCAACTGGACTACAGCGCTCAGGTCACCAAGATCTCAGGCACTTCATCTCTAAGACAGAGCAGTCCCATCAGAAAGCTCTCGGTACGGGTAGTTTTGCTGCCTCTTTCCGAGCGGTGACATTTCCAGTAACACTTCCTGAGATCAGGGAAGGTGAGGGAGGGGAAAGCAGGCGATTAACCGCCGGCAGTGGCAGCCGAGG